GTCTGGAATATTCCTAGTTCTGCTCTTAAATCAGCAGCGGTTTTACCTACATTATAGTAAGTATAGGTTAAAATGATCAACCCAGCAATTGGTAAAGACCTGATCCTGTCTCCACTGAACTACTTTATCCAGGCTCCCCCTGGCTACTACGGAGCATGGGATTGCATCTGTAAAACAAGACCTACGAAAGTGCTACAACTCACAACAGTAACTGCTGCAGGACCGATCCTGCAAAGATTTCTACAGGACCAGTGGTTTCTGCAGAGTTCAACTAGCTCCCTTGAAACACGACTACCCTTGAAACAGTGAGAGCTTCAGCACAAAATTTCTACTTCTAAATATTTGAAGAACAACCTCTTTTGTTCATCACATTATTCTTCAGACAACAATGCCATTAATTCTTTAAAACACAGTAACTAGAAACATTACTCTCTGAGTCTAAGCATCCAAATATATCAGTGATAAACAGTTTCTAAATTAAATTATATAATCAATTTTAAGCATGACCAAGAAATCTTATAAGTATTTAAAACAGACAGCCATGTTATTAATGTTATTAATTAATGTTAATTCCATTTAGCACTAGAAAATGTACATTTTCATATTTATTTGTTTGAAATAATTCCCACTGACAGGATGAGGAATAAAATATAATATTTCCTGACCACACCAGAGCTACAGTCTCTGGAAGCCAAAAGCTGAGCATATGCCCACAGTACACACACATCGTGAGGCAAATACATCATAAAGTGCTTCAACAGAAATTTTAGTTGCTTTTGCATACTTGGCAGATTTTTTTTAAATGCACTGGGATGAAAATAGGACTCCTTAAGGAGAGTTAAACATGATCTTCTGCTAATTTATATTGTGTTAATATTTTCTTCCAACAGCCAAGCTCCCTGTGGTTTGCATCATATGGTTTTTTGCCTTAAAGTCACCATACCTGTATCTTTTGTTATCCACTGGCACAATATCCATAGCAATATAATACTGCTGATGTGGGTCTAAACCTGAGATCTTCACTCTCATTGCAGGAAACATCCGCCTGAACATGGAAAGAGAGAGGTCATTTTTAATACGAAACAGACATGGGAATAGTTGTTTAGGAAAAGTAACTGCTTCGTGGGATTTTTCTCGTTCTTCCTTTTAGCCTACAGAGTCCTTTTGGACGATTATAGTTACACAGCCATGAAATGGCCCATTCGATATGTCAAAACAGATTTCTAAAGTGCATTTCCTCGAACAATGCTCCGTATGTTTGGGGATACGCTTTGGGAGTACAGCTATTACCACATCATTTCAACTTTATTGTTAGACAGTAAATCATTTGGTTTTGAGACTTTACTTCAGCAGTACACACATTTAAAGCTCGTTTGAGATACTAGCTAGAAATATATTCCTGGAGATATGCAAACACCACCTCCACCCAGGAAGACCAAGACTTACAGAAAGGCAAATTGCCACTGAAGTTTCAACTGACAGCAGCAAATGGTGTCTCATTGCTGTAGCAGCGAATTAGAAAGCTAAATCTATGGTGATAGAATTATAACACCGCAAGGATGCAGTTATAAAAGCCAATGTGCCATGCTGTAACCCAACAATATGGTCTTTATTGAGACGCGACTTCCTGTCTGCAACTTACTAAAGGTGAAGTGCAAGAGCTACTCTGTCCTTGAAAGGTATAGTAAAACTTCTTTATTGAAAGCAGAAACGAATCTAAGGGCTAAATTATAAAAAAAAAACCCAAAACATTACAAAACCCACCAAAACCCAAATGTTCAAGACTTAGATCCTTCTGCGGCAAAAACGGATTAATTGACTGATGAGGTGGTTTTAACATAAAAATGCCCTTCTTAGCTTGGCATGCCTTTTATCAGAAAGCTTCATCCTTCAGGCCAAAAAAAAAAAAGAAAAAGAGAAAAAAGTCCTAGTGATGAGCTGAGTACCTCACTGCAAGCTAATAAAATACTTTTCTGTATTTTATAAATCTGAAAGCTGTTCCAGTTTATTCAGTATTTGCTGAGGTTCTAAAAAAAATATGTATGTACACGCACACACATCTAAATCAATTAAAAGTCGTTACTGGAAAGGAAAATCCTATCTCCGTCATTTCTGAATAAGCAGGAAGGTAAAAACCTGACTGCGGTTAACTGGTTTTCGTTGTTATTTCAGTGCACCTGTAAGACAAAACAAAAATTCCCCGACTGGACTCTCTAAAGACAAATGTTGCTTTGTGCTGTTTAAGACCGCGTTTCAATCATTGGTAAAGCCTCTCTGAAAATGCAGACGGTAGCATATGGATTCAATAAAATATGTTTTTGTAATTTCTAATAAGTTCAGATACTTTTATACTACCCAGCTTTTTACCATGTGTATTCCCTGGAAAGGGGAAAGAAAAGTTTCCCCCCAGAAGGGCACGGCGCTCCCAGACCTCGCCCTAATGAACAGGAAACCCGAAGCGCCACATGCTCCGGTGCCCATCCAACATTATGACCATCTACCTGCCTCGTAAATCTGGGGGCTGCCCCGGTTCTCGCCCGCTTTGATGTGCCCGCCCGCCCGGCAGAGCG